GTTTGTTGAATCTGACGTGACATGTTCGTACGAACCCTTTGTACGAACAAAAGTAAGAGAAATTTAGGAGAAGAATACGAACATGTTCTTGCATGAGGTCCATTGATACTACATTTTAACATTTTTACTGATCTTTTCAACACTGGAGCAAAGCAGGGCTGGTCACAAGTGTTTCTTACTGTAAACTCTTCATGCTTTTTAAAATACAATCCTGAATATAAAACTTATTTAGAAAAAAAGAAAAAAAAGATGATGAATCAAATCCTTTGAATATCCTCCTAAATAAACAGTAAATTCAAGGCCAATTGAAACAAATGATAACATTTTTCCTGAATAAAACTTAAGTGTAACTCATTCAGATGTGTTATGTTTTGTGTCAGTGGTGTATCAGGGCATGAACATGACAGTTTGTTAYCCAAACGTGGGACAAGATGAGATCCAGAATGAAGGCAATGCTGTCGCCATCATTGGAGCTGCCATCATGTACTGCTGTGTGCTCTTTGCATGGTGAGAATACACACAAGTAAAYGTTTCTTAAGTTTGTTCATATCTAACACACTACACAGAAACATGGGTCAAATAAACTGGAACTGTTTAAACTGGCAGATTGTGCTGAATTTTCCTTTTGGCACGATGTCCCATTCTGAGCAGCATGTTGATGACAGCAGAAACAAATGATACACTTTGAATGAAAACAAACCTCTAGTAGAGTCAGGCTCAGGATGAGCGACTGTCTGCCTGTTTTACAGGACAGCAGAGACAAACGAACACAGAAGGATTGGTCCAGGTGTGATTTATTTAATTAATTAATTTTTAACTTATTCAACTTTTATTTATTAAATTCCTTTCATTCATGAAACAAAAAAAAGATACACAGTAAAATTTAAAACAAACAAACAAAAAGAGCTAATTTTTATGGTAACAGAAGGAAAGGATAACACAAAATAAAAGGTAGTAATACCAGGAGAGCTGAGAGAATAAAGTCTTGGACTGGGTATTTGTCTTCCAGCAGGAAGCCAACCTTAACTATAGGATTTATCAAAAAGGAAAGTCTTCAGTCTAATCTTAAAAGTAGACASAGYGTCAGCCTCACGGACAGAAACTGGAAGTTGGTTCCACAAGAGAGGAGCTTGATAACTGAAAGCTCTGCCTCCCATTCTACTTTTAGAAACTC